GTGAGGGAACTTCTGTTTGCTGAACCTTGGCTTCTTGCTTTTCGGTTTTTTGTAAACTATCTAAATGCTTTTGGTCTTGGTTAATCCTTTCCTGCAACTGTCTAATTTGCTGAACATCCTCGCTAGTTAATTTAGTTTTTAAAATGTCCTCGTAAGCAGCCAATTTACCATCTTTTAATGAATTTCTCTCATAGCTATAAGAATTGGTTTTTTCTTCCTGCTTTAAAGTTGTTAAATAAAAATCTAAAACTGTTTTTGATTCTTCGCTAATTTGCTTTTTAGAGTCTGTAATTAACTTTTCTATCTGCTCTTTTTGGCTTTGAAGTTGAGGTGCTAACTCCCTAATTTTTAATCTAGCAATTTCGTCTTTCAATTCAGTAAAATCACAACTTTTATTAGGAAAAACAATATTTTTTAATTCATCTAATTTTTTTGTAGCTTCTTCTAAGTCGTGGCATTCTCACGAGGAGCCATAATAACTTCGTCGAGAAATAAACTGCCGTGAAGCAAGAGGGGCAGTTAAATTAATCAAATTTAAAATCTTTGTCATAATATAATTTATTTTAATGGTTTTTTAATTTTTTAGGTTAAGTTTTTTCAAACTTGCTCCTAATTTTCATGCTCGCTTTTTAAAATCTTTATTATGATCGGAATAACACAAATCACCAAAGAAACAAACAAAAAAAGTAAAATCAACAGTGAAGAAACTACCAAAAAAGTTATCAATGCTTTCCTAGGAACTATTCAACAAAAATTAGTTCAAGGAGAAAGTATTAATTTTAAAGGCTATTTTAGTATCAAAAGAAGCACCACCCAGCCCAAAGGTAATAAAAATTGTGATGAACACCAAAAAGAATTAGATAAATTTAAGCAAGCTAATAAAGGCAAAGACATTATGGCTTTTATGAAATCTCCGGTCTTTCGGAATTTAGTTTCTAAGACGAGAAATTGCTCTAAATGTAAAGCTAAAAAACAACAATAACAAATGCAAATGTAAGAATACTGGCAAACATTTACTATCAAAAACACACTGTATTTAGAAACTCCAACATACCGCCCCAA